CTCTCCCACGCAATCAAAGGATTACTCACCCCTTTTAAATTTCACCCCGTCTTGACCATCAGCATAAAGTTGGAGTTCCAGGTTTGTTTACCACAACATTTCAATCTTCTTTTTTACCCCGCACAGCCGAGAAAGGGAACAACCTTACAGGGTTGATTGCTACTATAACTGATACCAATCTGTTTAAGAATTCCATTACTACTTTAGCAGTGACCCATGGCCTATTATTTTTCTTTGTTTGTTGTATATTTAATATTGTTAACTTGTTACTATATTACTATCTTTATTTTATGCATGTGCTCTCCCCCTCTGTAATGCCTTCGGACCCTGAGGGTACTTTCAATAAATAAATAAATCCTCTGCTTCATATTCTTGAAACAGAACACTCCAAGATTGCACGCTCTTCGCAATCTTGATTTTCAATTTGGCTGTTCATGAGCACAAAGAATAAACTGCTGCTGCTGATGATGATGCTGCCTTCAGTTGTGCTTTCGAAAAGGTTTGCAAACCTACACTCTTGCACCTCTCCTTCAGGCGACGCCGTACGTTTGAGATACACTGTAGATGAAGGAAACGGATCCCGCGGCTGTCAAATCCGCTCAGAAGAATGCATGGAACATCCTCGGGCACAGTAATTTGAGGTGGCGGGTTCGAATCCCGACCGAGGTGCCCGCAATATGACGGAGGCTTATTGCGGAGAAGGCGCCGTGTAACCGAGCTTTTGGTCGCACGTCAAAAGATCCTCAGGTGGTCGAAATTAATCCCCAGTCCTCAGCTGGAGCGTGCCAGATGCCCGTCGTAGGTTTGGCACGTAAAACTTCCAAATTTGACAAAATTGACAAAAAGCGAGTTACCAAATGATGAGAGGCCCTAAATATGACCATGGAGTGTACGTTGCTCACACATCACTCTGATATGTGTTATCGAAAGTCGAATTATTTATTTAACTCATATAGTAACTGAGAGATTTAAAAACCTGAGGTGCGGCGAGTCCCGAGCGCCTAATTAGGGCTACGCGGCCGATACAATAATTAATGACTACGTAGCCTAATTAAGGCTACGCAGCCATAAGCAGATAAGAACGCCAAAGAAAGACGGACAAAATAAAAAGCGTCAACCAAAAAGGACACGCCCGACGTTTCTTAAATTGTCATTGACTATGGCTAAAAACTAAACTCAAGGAACTTGTATGTGGCCGCGCAAGTCGTCTGCTTTGTACGCAGGGTTGCGTGGTTGCGTTGACTTCAGAACGCCGAGTTCTGGTTGGCTTTGATTGGACGGATTGTGGGTAGACCTCCATTCTGGCTGCCTTAAGGTCTACCCACTATCCTTTCACTCTGAGCCAATCGGAGCTCGGCGTTCTCCCGTCATCGCAACCCCTGAGCCGACGAACTTACGCCCCGTACAGGTCTATTGTGCCTATGGCTCCTATTGGTCCATTCCGTTTGTTGACTTAGGCAGTGCCAGATCTAGTAGCGCTGACCAGGCACGCCTCATTCTTCCAAAATTATTCAGGAAAGTGAGATCCATTGTTCGCTGGCGAACACCAAGTCGCATCTCTCGCCTCCGAGTGGCAGTCATTTACTTTGAATGTGTTGACCCGGTGACGCAATTATAGTGAAATGACGGTCACATTAGATTGGACTGAGGAGGCACCCGAAGCCACAGCGGAAAGGATTTGAGTCAGCAGGCAGTGGTGCGAGTCACAAGGCCGCTTGCTTTATGCCAGTTAAACCGCGAAGACTTACGCCGCATACAAACCAAAAGACAATAAAATGAATCCTTCAAGCGACTTCCCGGCAAACAAAAATGTAAACACCGCTGATTCTTAAAACTACGTACCTAGCTGTACTTAGACCACGCGTTATTACAAAAGAAAGACCGGAAAGACTTTCCTGTTTTGGAGCCTGCCCTCTAAAAGTAACTCTTTCTCAAATGAACGCTTTCTTTCTAGCATTGTAAATGACTACTACGTGCTACCATTTAGGCGTTCAGTGCAGTGTGTGAGGCATTCGCACACCTTTCATTCTCACCTAGGGCCTTCCGCCAGTGAACTAAAGCAGAATTGAATTCTAGGCTCGATTCTTCTATATAACAGAGTAAACGTCGCAGACAGACGTCAAAGTAAGAACACCACCGCGATGGGACAGTCGCTCCGCTGAAGTGAAGACGTCTTGAGCCCCATCGATTTCTTCACGGAAGGTGAGCTTTCAAGCTCGTTCTCCTTAACCCAGGGCAGAGACAAAGAGTCAGCGCAAGACTTAAGCAATAAATGTTTATTCCATCCATTCAACCCCTAAAAGTGCGTAAACGTAAAATCGTACATATTTGCGAACTACCTTCCAAACTAAGGAAACATATCTGGCACCACCTCCCCACCTTCCCTAACAAGCAAAGCCTTGAATCTCAACGTAAAACGCAAAAGGAACTTTGAAACAGAAAATGGAACATTTCTATCAAATTGCAAATTGCGAACTATCGGGCATGCATTTGAGCCCGTCAACAGCAATACGTCTTCCGGCTAAGTGCTTGCGGTAACTTTTCTGCTTGACTTATTCTCGGGAAGAGGAAATTTTCACCCGAATGCTTATGGCTACTGAGATATTGAAAGTTTCACTCTCTAAACCTGCTGCAGATTGGAGCCGAATGAACACGAGTGAGAAGCAATTTGCTTATCATTTTCTATTTTAGAAACTAAGCATTAGTGAACAAAAAGGCGTCGCTTTCAATTAATCTTAATACTCGGAATGTCCTTTCTGTGATGCGTAAGTAATGCATCGAGTAAGAACTTACAGGTGCAACATTTCTATCCCCATAAACCATTACTCTCTCGCAATGTCTGCGTCTGAGAAAAGCTTGATTTCTATTCTGTATTTGAGTTACTTCTTACTGTTACTGAGCCCTAATGATGAACTTATTAGACCCATTGGACATAGGGATTACGACATTCCATGTCAAGAAATGCTTAAAGCAAAAATATCGCTCAGTTTGTGTTCAATTTAAACTTCGAGCACCGGTGATTTAGCAAAGACCAGGTCGTACACTGAAACCGTTAAGAAAAATAGCATGCTTTCGTCGCTAAACTTTTTACACACCGATAGCACAACAACAGATTCAAACTTAGTGGAGGGTTCAAACGCCGAGTTACAAGTCCGAAGCATACGTGAAAACATTATAACGGAAATCAACGCGTGCAAAAAGTGTTGTAAAGAATAAAAAAAATAAAAAATAACTTCAGTGAGGCAGGAAAGTTTGGTGAAGGGAAATTATAAATGTGATTTCGTTTTTAATCAAACTTGGACATCAATGTTGTAAATTTCCTTGTGTGGCGAACTTTTAAAATTTATTCTAAACAGTTTCGGCATGTTCCAACTATCGTTCCAATTTTGGATCTCTTCTTGGGACACCTGTGGAATTCAGTATTCCACCCGTGCGCCGAATGAATATTTATGCACAAAGTATAAGCTTGCTTCATTGGCAGTTTCCTTGTAACTACATTAAAAACTACCAATAGAGCAAAGCTTATCCTTAGTGAAGTTGCTGATACATTCTCTCGGTGCACTTGTAGAATGCAATTTTTTTTCGGCATGCGTCGAAATTCCAGTGTGGAAACATATGAACGCCTGTGTTCTCTGTTGGTCTTCAATGTGCCTCTTTTCTTATCTTAAATTAGAAATCAACACGCTCAACCATTTACATCGTACGCTTCATATTTACACCTTTTTGTAACGAACCTGAAAATACACCGGATATAAAACGTACATCCTGGAGTGTTCAGAGATAACTCCTCGACCTCGAAACAGCAAAGCTTAACAAGGCCTGAGCTCCTTAGTCGTAATTATTTTAAACCCGGCGACTTTGAAGCGTCTTCTAGAAAAAGCGAGGAAATTCGCCCACAACATTAATCTACCAGATTGCTTTGAATAGCATAAGCTTTGATCAAACTGTCATCCAATCACGACCAAAGTCAGTGCTTAAAAACGAGCCGTAACGAGACGCGACTTCTTTAAAGTAACGTAGTTATCAGCAACCGCACCTAAAAATGAGCAACACGTAAGCACCCAAACCAGCCGGCGTACGTATATTGAAAATGAACACAGACAATCCCGAAAGGAGGCTAACGAAGGACAGCGCCTACACAAACGTCTCCATTCTTTGTGTTCGTGCTGCCATTTTCCTACCAAGTTTTTAGGTTTTTTTAATAGAGTTAAAATTATTACATTTACTTGTCTTTAGCTTTGCATAGTACTACCTAGGGTCTGGGCTCTAGCAAATCACTCGATCGAGCTAAACATTCTGCTATCATCTATTAGTAACAATTCTCGGACTTCTGTAGAATATTTTACCAGCTCTTCGTCAATCTAAGAAAAAGCATTTTTTAAGCTGTAATGCTTCTAATGATGTAATAATTAATTGTCGAATAATTGGGAGTGCGCTAAGTCAAATTGGAAATGCAACATACTATTTAGTTATGTCTTCTAGCCAAATAAACATTCTTTCAACATCGTACAAACCCGAGATCCAGGAACAATATCCCCAAACTTCTAGCTGCTTGGCGGCCATCGTATAGAGCTGAAGTACAATTTACTTAGAAAAACGTGTTGGACATTAGAGAGTTTGAGTAGATCGATTCCACCTCCAATACTTCCTATTAAGACACGATACATGCCCAAAGGCGGCGGCGGAATATTGGGTATGGTTATCAAAGTCATCGGAACGATCAACTGAAGCTTTCTAATATTACCGACGAGTGTTCCTTTTACTAGCCTTTTGTTTGTTTATAACACTTTTCTCTACCTTTATTTTTGTTTTGCTTGCCCATCCTTCTCAGTACAAGAAATTCTTTGCTTGTGAAGAACCACTCATTCCTTCCTGATTCTATTTCCTAAGTACTACAATGCCCGAGCACAAAACGAATTTCCGGAATAATTAACTCCATCCTTTCGTTCCCTATTCCAGGTGATCCCAACTTTTGCTGTCTGTTGCCACACGTAGTCTTGACAATGAATACCAGTATGAACCCAATCACACTTCTGAGCCAGATCCAGCAGATGGGCGATCCAAGAACAAGGGACTACCCTCTAGTCGTCAACCCCTTCTTCGTCTTCCCTCTGATTCTGGGCTACCTGTACTTTGTCAAGGTGGCTGGTCCACGATGGATGAAAGACAGGGAACCTTTCGATATCATAAATATCGTTCGCATGTACAACCTTGGCATGGTGGCTGTCAATGCCCGGTTCCTCTACATCGTCCTGAAAACGACCTACCTTCCAGGAGGTCGCTACAGCCTCTGGTGTCAAGGAATTACCGGATATATGGACGAAGAGTTAACCCAATACTACAAAGATGGATGGTTTTTCGTCGCGGTTCGGTACGTTGACTTTCTGGACACCGTCTTCTTCGTCCTCCGCAAGAAATTCAGACAAATCACGCACTTGCACGTCATCCACCACACCATCGTGGCGGCAAACGTGTGGTTCTGGACCTTGTTCGCTCCAGAAGGACACGTCGCTTTTGGACTGGCCATCAACGTGTTTGTGCACATCATCATGTACTCTTACTACTTCCTCGCTACCCTGGGTCCCGGCGTGCAGAAGTACCTCTGGTGGAAGAAGTACCTTACCACGTTGCAGATCGCTCAATTTGTTCTTGCCATGCTTCACTTGTCAATCCCTTTGTTCGTAGATTGTGGGTTCCCCAGATACCTTATCCTCCTTGGAAACGCGCAGACGTTCCTTATATTGGTCTTATTTGTAAACTTTTATGTTCACGCGTACAATCGCAAGGGTCCTTCTATTAAAAACGAACAGAGTAGCACCGAGGAAGACCTTCAGCAGAAAGTTAAGAATAGAAAGTACGATTAGCATCTCTATAAAAAAAATAAGGAAAAGTGAGCAATATGAACGAGTACAAATTTAAGGGAATGTTAGCGTGGGCACCTAATATCTCAGTGAGTTACTCTAATATTTGAAGGAGAGGGCGCAGTCGAAAAACATTAAGAGATGTAGCCTGAGTGTAGAGATGGGGAATTTCCAGTCGCATTTCATGCCGCATGAAGGTTTCAGATCCACGCTTCGGATCCAATTTAAGCAGCCCGCGAAATTCGGGTTCTCTAAGTATCGCGCTGTGACTTACTACGAGGGTACGGGTACGTGATAAAAGCTTAAAGTAAAAATGTCAACGGATGAACTTACCTTGTTTATAAAAGAAAAACGAACCTTTTTTAGGGCAATCTACGAAAGCAAGCGCCACAAAAGCACGGCAGAAAGCCACGAGCACAGCCTTGAGGCGAAGCCTCTACTGGTCTCTGAACTTGACAATGTGGAACAAGAAAGTTGACGCCAACTAAAATATCGCGCGAGGAACACATTTTGGACTCGCTTATTTAGTGTGTCCTCAAATGTAGACCCTCAATTTCCGTATGATGACGTGATAAAAAGTGTAAGGACGTTGCCTGCCGCACTCTTGACAATGACAGAGCAGCGGAGCTGGATACGACAGACTCCTGTTCTGCTGCAGCTCGATCTCGAGCTTGTGGAGATTTGGACACAAAGATAACTTTGCTGACGAGGCGGCGGGTGCATGAGGAGTGAGCTCGGGGTTAGCACCACTGATGACAGTTGTAGTAGGCTCGATAGCGGATTATGGCTTGTTTTGCTGGGGTCAAGTGGCACCGCTGGCGGCTGTTGCTTGGCATCGGCAAATACGTTGAACCCTAATGTAAAAGCGAAAAAATAAGCTTTCTTTTAATCGTATTATATATTGAACGACAAAACTTCGACGAAATTTTCTAGGAATGGTGAGACATTCTTTTGTTGTGATGTAAATACTTTCTACGCAGTTGTTTTTGGGGAAAAATACTTTTCTATCCTCCGTTGACCTCCTTCACGGTCCCCAAAAGCAGCCAGTGGCAGACCAAAATCAGCCAAAAACAGCCAGAAAGGTTGGGGTTGATGTTATTATTACTTTTTTATCTTTTCTTACGAAGTGTTAGATTGTGTCTGAGGCATAATTTTTGTTCTTAATCAAAGCACACGATGTCTGAACAACAAACATTATCGTGCACGCGAAAGTAACTTTCCTTTTTAAAACATTCCCATAAAAAGCTGTGTTCATGCTTCGAGTCATTTTGAGAGAATCGGGGGTTTTGAAGCATTACGAAAACGACTCGGAACAATCGAGCAGAGAAATTCCGTCTATGGCAGAAGATAACAGAGATTAGCACTCTGTTTTTGCAATGTAATAAACTTCTCAGCACTTACTGACGCCTGTCAATGCTGTCTTACTATTCCAGCAAAACCTCATAAAAGTGTCTTGACAAGACACTTCACACCTCCCGGAAACTTGCATGTATTGCCTGGTGCCAAGCAGAGGTCACCGGTCATTGCTTGACGTGCTCCGATATTACTCCAGCTTCGGACAAGCGGCGAGTGAAAACTCCCCAAGCTCGACAGTTCACGGGAGCTACAGCAGCCAGGAGTTGGATACCTCTGGCGTCAAGCTACACAAGCGTTCGCTCCTGCTTTTTGTCGGAACTTCTAGGACCAACCGCTAGGATCGCGACATTTGACAGCCAAATATACGACTGCTCCAGTGATGTCATTTGTATAGCCACTTCGAGACTCCCTTACATGCACTTGTTGTAAGATATAACTGTTCATGGCGCGTCCAGGGCACCGTACGTAATACTAGTAATTTTATTTGTGCCGGTGTTCGTTGAGCGACGCAATTGACAGTGTCGTGTAGCGACGAAATCGGAAAGTATTTCTGACGTATGCTCTTGTAGCGACAATATCGTCTTCCCCCCAAAACGCTCCCCCGAGCCGCGGAGGAGGCTGGCACGCACCGGGGATACCCGACACCAGCTCGGGGGGGGGGGGGGGGGGGGGGGCCGGATGCGGGTCAGACGGCCAGACCTCCATGAGGGTAGACTAAACAACTCAAGTCGCCCCCACGGCAAGAGAGGAGAGAAGAGAAAGAGGGCAGACGCCTTACGAGCAGCGCCCGTTTAGGACGCATGAACATGCCTCGTAGGTTTAATGTCGTCCTTCTTGTGTAGTCCCTCAGAGAAATAAAAAAAACGAGTTCAGTAGAACATTAAATCTATCTACATTGGTGACCCGGACAAACGAAAAAGCCGACCTCAAGCGCTGCGATGAATCAAGAAGAAGAAAATGCTTCTGCCAGCTCCTCAACCTCGGCGCCCCCTGCGGAAGGCGTCTCTGTCGTCGCCCTCAAGCTCCCACCCTACTGGCCTGCGGATCCCGAGCTGTGGTTTCTACAAGTGAAAACGCAGTTTGCGGCTTGGAAGATCACCGCTGATCGCACCAAGTATCATGATATCGTGGCGAGCCTTCAACCAGACATCGCCACCGAGGTACGCGACCTGCTCCTCCAGCAACCAGCCACGGACGCCTACGCCACCCTCAAGCGGCATCTGATCCGCCGCACAACAGCTTCTGAGGAAAGACGGTTACAACTACTCCTGACCACCGAGGAACTTGATGACCGCCGACCTACCCAGTTCTTGCGCCGCATGCAGCAGCTGATGGGTGAGAAGTAGGGGTGGGCGAATATTCGAAATTTCGAATACGAATTGAATATCATACATTTAATATTCGTATTCGATTCGTAAACTAAGTCTTTGGTCGTTTTCGAATATTCGTCGTAACACGAATATTCGAAATTAATCGAATATTCGAGAACGTATTCGCAAGCATAAGTTTAGGTTTTGGTTAGCAAGGCCGCTTGACAGCGACATAGCTGCATAGCGGCTTCATCCTAAACTGGTGGCGTCAGTGTCAGTAACCAGCGAGTGTCTGTTGTTCCCTTGTGACACTTGACGTTTAAAACTGCGCTCACTTTCGCGTTCGCCCACCCGTGTTATGGGGAGGGAGGTTATTGCGGGGAACCGTCTGTGATGCGGAGCAACGAACGGGAAACGGCACCAAAACGAAAAGAGAGGAGCGCTATTTGTAAATATTTTGCGAGGGTGACGGCATCAATGGCGCAATGTACGGCATGCGAGTCACCGCTTAAAACGCCCACAGGCACGACAACGCCCCTTGTCAACCATCTCAAAGTACATCCTGCGTTGTTGAAAAAGCATCGTGGGACTACCGCTGGTACGCTAGGAAAAGATCAACCGACGCTGACGGACTTCGTGCGCCGCAAGGAGCCCTGCCAGAAAAGAGGGTGCGAGCGCTAAATAACAAGGTGGCCGCCATGGTGGCGCTTAATGTACAACCTTACAGCACTGTGGAAGACCACAGCCTCAAAGAACTTCTGACAGAAGCCGTTCCCAACTATCACCTTTTATCCCGCTCTACACTCTCGCGCGTGCTTGTGCCACGGATGTATGACAACACCCGAAAAAAGGTGAAAGCAGAGCTCAACAGTGCATGCATTTGAAGGCGGCACTACCGCTCTTACCTTCACAAGCGACATGTGGACATCGGGGCTAACGAAAGTTACGTGAGCTTCACCTGCCATCTTCAGACTCGAAAATTCATGATGAAGCGGTTCACACTGAACACTCGACACATGGCTGCCAGTTACAGTGCTGGGAACATCGCAACTATGCTGGACCAAATGTGCCATGACTTGGAGATACCCGATGAATGTGCGAAGTTCATCGTAACGGATTACGGGCGCAGCATCCGTGCTGCAGTAAGCAGACTTCCATGGACTGAAAGAACGTGCTTCGCGCATACATTTCAACTGGCAATAAATGACGCGAGACTCCGTTCGCCGGCCATTGATTACCTGTGCAAGAAAGTGAGCCATGTTGTGGGATATTACAAGCACAGTTCATCAGCTCAGAAGAGGCATGAGGAGAGCCAAAAGAAGATAGGAAAGGACACACTACGTCTTGTGCAAGACGTAGAGACGAGATGGAATAGCCAGTCTCTAATGTCGTCTCGCTTTCTGGAACCCAAAGTTGTCACTGTGGAGCTTGCTACCTCGGACTGTGACATCGATGAACTTGGTTTACCAGAGTGGAAAGTTGCTTCTGAATATGAACAAGCATTGAAGCCATTCTTTGATGCCACTGTTATTGCCAGTGTTGAGAAGTATTCGTCTTTGTCCTCCCAAGTTCCTATGATTTTTGGTATGCTCCACTGTTTAGCTAACTACTGGGGCATCAGTATTTCCCGCAGAACTGATAAGATCCATCAAGTCAAGGTTCACTCTGAATGAGGAGGACAAGGAAGCATGCCTTGCTATGCTCTTGGACCCACGCTTCAAATCCATTATTTTTAAATCCGAAAAGGAAAAATTATTATGTCTAAAAGCTCTGGCGCTGCAAGAGCTAGCCTCACCTGATGCTACTGAAGAAACCCAGCCGGAAGCTACAACACATTCACAAGAGCAAGGCTCAACGCCGTCCGCAGATGTTTGGCAAGCATTTGATCACTTAGCCAAAAGTGCAATGGAAAGCAAAGTGGTTTCAGCTTCAGAATGGGGATTTGTAGCGTATGCGGAGGAGGCACAGCTAAAGAGAGAGAAAGTGATCGGTGTGAGTGGGGACGAACTGTCGGGTGCTTAAGGCCACGGTCCCACTGAATGTGGCAGTTTAGGTACTTTTCGGCAGGCCATTACTCATCTCCTTTTAAATACTGTTTTGTGGGATTGATGTCATTTGAAAGGCAATGCAATCCTCTTTCATTTGATATTATGTATGTGTTGGTTTTTACTGTTCATGCGCATTTGTAGCGTTGCGAATATGATGGCGCGGACCCTCACTTGCTCCGCTAGTTCATGTTTTATGAACGATCTATTAAAGATAGCACGGTTCCAATATAGCAGTTTTGTTAAGATGATGTCGGAGCAGAATCTAACGATCCACTTTTTTGATATTTGC